TGCTGACAGTGTTCTCTGGAGCAACCATTTCTTGCCCAGTGCTATAATGATAGATCCATTGCCTATCATTGCCACAAGGCACAACAGGACTAAAATGATAAATAAAGTGATGACTGCCTTATCAGTAGTCTGACATCCCAGAACTGTGTGCCCTGTGCTCATTTCTCCTGTCGACATGATGGGTCCCAAGAAGGACTATTTGTCGCTCTAAGAAGTCTCTCCAATATTGTTTTTCTCTCCACATGCCCTAAGTGGAGAAGTGAAGCCAGAAGTGAGGGTGCAGGCTCTCTGAGGAGGATAAAAATGTTTCTTCTCTTCAGAATAGATGCAAATACTGCCAAGGCTAAGTTTCCACAAAGTCTCTGTGTGTGCCTGTATATTTGCCTGCTCTCTTGCCTATCCCCTACCCATTGTCAACATCCGTGTGAATAATGTATCAGGCCCTTGCATATGGTGTCTCTTACATAGGCAGTTACGCTTCTCTGAGCTGATATCTAAGACCACACACCTGGAGTTACTTGGTAATAAAATCCCCAGGACATGATGCGTCCTACTGAATAGCAGAGCTCATGTCCATGTTATGGGGGTGGGGGTGGGGAGGATAAGAGGTAATTGTTGGGTACTAGACATGGTTCTAGATGCCCCTCCAAATATTTAGTTCTGACAGCAACCCTTTGAAAGAGGTACAGTAAGAACATCCCTTTGGCACAGAGCCAGAAACTGATCCCAACCTCTCTCTCCTGAGAGAGATTAGCTCAAGTTCTAGTCAGGTGAGGATTCAGCATCCCAGAGCAGACCAAAAGAGACAGTTACACAGAATGAAACAGAGACTTTCTCTCAAAAATGTAGACACTGTTCTGTTAGAAATGACTTTCTCGATGGCATCTCATCAAGAAAGCTATAAACCAATAGGATAGGCTGTGAGAGGTCTGGCCAGAGAGAGGCTTCAACCCATGCCCCTCTCTGAGTTTCAACCACTGTGAGTGCTTGAGCATTCCAGTGAGCCCCTCTGTTTCCTTATTTCCCTGTCTAAAACATGGAAAGGACTCATTCTACTCCACGGACTTTCCTTGGAGAGTGGATGTGGCTGCATGAAGACATCAAGGCTGATTTCATAGATAGAAGAAATGAAGCCACAAGTGACAGATGAAGACTCGTATTTAAATCATATTTAACTCACAGCAGAAGGCCAAGAGCTGCACTGATTCCAGGACCAGCCCCCTCACCACAGTTAGCAACTTAACTTAGAACCTCCATCCTCTTCCACCTTGGCAGCTGTGGATTCCATCTAGAGCTCTGTTTCTTTGCTGATTAAAGTTTTAGGGCTGGCTGGATGGCACAGTGGATCAAGGTACTTGCCGACAAGGCTGAAGACCTGCATTCCTTCCCCAGAAACCACACAAAGGTGGAATGAGAGAACCAATTCCACAAAGTTGTCCTCTGGCCTCTACAGAGGACACCTTGTTGAGAGCACAGGAGCACACACACACACACACACACACACACACACACACACACACACACATAAACACACATACACACACATACACACACACACATACATACACACACACATACACACACACATACACACACACATACACACACACATACACACACACACACACATACATACACACACACACACATACACACACACATACACACACACATACACATACACACACACATACACACACACACATACATACACACACACACACACACACACACACACACACACACACACACACACACATAAAAAAAATCAAATTAAAATAACCAGGACTGGGGAAATGCCTCAATAAGTGCTTGCCACACAAGTATGAGGATCTTTGTTTATCTCTCCTAGCAACCATGGAAAACTCCAAAAATGGCTGAGAACCTGTAATCCCCCTGCTGGGTATGGGAGACACAAGGCATTCTGGGACTGGCCACCAGCCTAGTGGGGAGTGGGCTGAGCTCCAGGTTCAGAAGGAGAGCCTATCTCAAGAGTAAAGGAAAGAAGGCACACAAAATCGACACAGTGACTGTGCCTTCTTGTGAAAATGCCAGTTCCCAGGGAATAGTGCTCCAAACTTCCTTCTCTGTGTCCCGGTTTCTTGGGCTGACTTTTAACAGTTCTCCAGCTGAACCTGGAGAAACGAGGCAAACTGGGTCTTTGAACTCCGGAGTTTGTGCAGCCGCAAACCTTGCAGTATGTAAAACTCCTCTCTCTTCCTTCTCCCTCCTACACCATCGATGGCTCATAACCTCAACTGATTGAACAGTTACTCATAAGCATCTCCTATTCCATAACACGGGTATGAAAAGCACTGGTCTGCAACAGTGAATTAGTTGCCATCAAAGTGCTTTTATGCACACATCATAAACCAAAAACATTTACTGTGCATATATTATGTGCAAATTAAATTCATTCAAAAAGAAGAGTAGCCTTTTATATTTAAAAACATAATAACTTACGGTATGCTTTTAATATTTACTTACTGTATTTTGTGTGTAGGAGTGTTTCACATAAATGTATATAAATGCACCATGTTTATGCCTGGTATCCATAAAGATCAGAGGAGCATATCAGATCTCTTGGAACTGGAGTTACAGATGGTCATGAGCTACCATGTGGGTGCTAGTAACTGAACCTGAGTCCTCTGCAAGAGCAGTGTGCAGTCACATATTCCATGGTGATTTTCATCCCTGTATTTATGACATTTTGCTTTCTCTTATTTAGATTTAGCTTTTAGGTAAACACAAAGTCTGATAATTTCGAATTTTTCATAGTCTTTTTTTTTCAAGACAGAGTTTCTCTGTGTAGTCTTGGCCATCCTGAAACTCCTTCTGTAGACCAGGCTGGCCTCAAACGAACAGAAATCCATCTGCCTCTGGCTTCCAAGTGCTTGGATTAAAGGCGTGTGCCACCACCACCATTGGTGTAAGTATGAAAGCAGTTTGATAGGAATCTAGAATAGATGTTCTGGATAGAAATTCTCAACTCAGTGCTCTGCCTCAGAAAGCTTAAAAGAGAAAACAGTGACCTGCATGTTGTCTTTAAATGTTATGTAACTTCCTAGTCATTCCCAAGAACTCTTAGAAGGGTTCAGCAGGACTGGGTATAAGATTTAGCAAGTGAAGGCACTTGCTGCCAACTAACAACCTGAGTTCCATCCCCAAGACCCATAGAGTGGAAAGAGAAAACCTGTTTGTGAAAGCTATCATCTGGCTTCCACAGCCTACCATGTCATGTGCTCACCACCCCCAACATGTGCACATCACAATAAATGTTGAAAACGTTATGGAGATGAGTAAAATGCTGTGCTGTGTGTCAGAAGAGTAAAGCACTGGTAAAGGCAGTAGGGACACAATTATGCAGCTAGTTTTATGGTTAAGGGGTGTTTAGTGCTTACTGCTCTTTCAGGGACCCTGAAATTGGTCCCTAGCACCCATGTCAGCAGGTTCACACAGCCCATAACTGTACCCTTCTGGCCTTTGGGGGCATCCACACATACATACACACACACACACACACACACACACACACACACACACACACACACACACAAGTAATAACTTTAAAAGAAATGCACATGTATTGAGTATGACCAGATATGCTTGAGTTCCATCAGGGATTCACTTGATGCCATGATGGTGTCTCTGGCTGAAAAGTTGGACTATAAAAGGATCCCAGATTCTTCTCTGTCACATTATGACAGATAGATGCTTACAACCAGGAAGAAGGATGTCATCAGAACCCAACCATGCCGGCATTCCACATTAAGGCTCTAGCACTGTAAGAAATAGTCACTTAAACTATGATATTCTGATACAGAGCCTAAACCAACCAAGACATAACCATATGCATATTTATTAATTATAATCTTGTCCACTTCATCGTTGTGCTATGTGCATTGTAAAACATGCACAAAAAGATAAAAGGTAATGGAAATTGAAATGGCCACATTTTCCTTTCCACTCCCAGTATGTCACTTTTCCCAAATTCCAGCCAGCAACAGCATCCAGGGAAGGCCCCTGGGCAAGACAAGCAGAAGTAAGATTATCAAAATTAACAATTGTCATGTAGCTTGGCACTTGCCTATAATCAAAGCACTTAAAAGGCTGAGGCAGGAAGATTGTGAGCAGCCTGAGCTACATGAGAACTGGTCTCAAAAACACCATAGTATGAGGATGTAGTTGCATCTTCAAGTCCCCCGTATAGCATGGACAGTGCCCAGGGCTGGATGTCCAACAAGAACACAAACAAAATTTGAGAATTCCTTTTTGTTTTCCCTCTGTCTTCAGTTGGCCAAAACCTAAACATCTTTTCACATTAGACAACGCAATTCCACTGAACATGAGGTCATGGACAGGACCTACGGTAGCACAAACTCTTCCTGCCCTCTGTCTCCTAGGTCAATCTGGAAAGGACCTTTTTGTGGGATCAGCTTTAGTCAGGGTACAAATGATGAGGGCGGCAAAGACTGGTAAGAAGAAAGAAAAGAAGGAAAAAGAGAAGAGAAAGGTAGAAGGAACTGAAAAGAGACTGGGCTTAGCAGAGCAGAGGCTGAGGGGTGACAGCTAAGGTCACACAGTGGGTGGCATGCAGGAATCTGTGCCATGGAAACAACTGATAATGGTTACATGTCTTCATAAGGGAAGTACTTATAGAAATGAGGCTTGGAGAATACAATGTGGTTTGCTTTCACAGAGAGCCACAGGAGCCTCTAAGGAACTGAGACCATTGGCTAAGAAAAACCTGGGTGATTTGGAACTCAGACCAGGGACTACCACAAATGAAGGTGACAAAAGAAACACAGAGAGTTAGGGGGAAGTTATTGTGGAGCTTGGAAGAAGTTGAAAAGAGAGAAAGCAGTGCGCGGGTATCCAAACCTTATGAATTCTTGCTACACATAAACTCATTTGTCACAGTCCTGACACTGATCACTTGAAAGGAGAGACACCCTTTGGTCCAAGGCCTTCAAAGCTTATGATAGGGCAGCATGCATGTCCTAAAATCTCATCTTCATGGTCTTTCTCAGTTTAGGATTGCTAAGCACCAGCATGACGGAGTTCAAAGAGATGCCTGTGTATATGATGACTTCTCGGGCCCAATACCAGTGACTCTGCATGGTTTTGATTTTTGTAGCAAAAATTACCAGGGACAGAAAAAATAATATATAGAAGATGAAGAAGAAGAAGGTAAGGGATTTCAGAGCCATGGTATGAGCCTGAGTATGGAAATCACAAGCCCCAGATCTATGGTCCCTCAGCTTTACCACATGTTGGAACAGCGAGAACATGAACAAGATAATGGACACCAGGAACAGGAAGAAAGGAGTGAGCCACATGAGCACTGCATGAGCCAAGTAACAGTACCGAAAGAAGTCCAATGTCATGTGACCAAGAGTGCAATTTCCGAGGGAACCCTGGGAGATGGTCATCTGAATAGCAATGATGTTCCCAGTGGCTGAGATGATGGCTGACAGGCCACCCATGATGACAGAGCACAGCAGAAGCCTAGGAACTAACCGAGAAATCCTCCACTTGAGCCAAAAGAGGGCAGGGTGAGAGAAGGAGGAGATCTTCACACAGTAGAAGATAGCTAGCCAGGCAGTAAGCCACAAAATGAGAGTGTTGGTGAAGTCCCAGAGGATGCCAAGAAGGTTTGTTTGGTAACAAAAACCAAAGGAGGCCAAGAGATTGATCAGGATGGTCATCCCATGCAGGCAGAATGGGGAGGAAGCCAGAGAGGTCACAATCGTGTCAGCTGCTGATAGGGCCCGCTTCCGCATCCACTCTCTGCCCAGCACGATGATCATGAAGCCATTGTGCAACAGAGAAGCCAGCGACACCAGGCAAAAGATGATCATGAAGATCAGTGTGGGTGTGGAGGGCTTCTTGTGGAGGGAAGATCTGTTCAGACAGGCTCCAGAACACTGAGACACAGGCACAGGAGAAAACAGAATCTACCGCCAAACCGTCGTTAGACCAGAAACATGGCAACTTTCTCACCCTGGATTCATGCAAAAGCAGCCAAGTTCTAGTGCCTGGGACTTGAAATGATAGTAACTACAGTCTCCCTAGACATGGAAATCACTCCCAGTTCAATGACACCTGCCTCAATTTGTATAACCTGCATTTGCCTACTTTGCCACAGCCAGGTGCAGGCAAATGTTGGCAGGAGATGCTCCGGAGTGCTGGGGAATACCCCTCTTTTGCAGATTGTTTCTCTCTCTCTCTCTCTTTTCTTTACATTATTTTCCTTTATTCTTTGACAATTTCATGCATGTATACAATGTATCTTGATCATATATATTCCTAAATCACCCTTCTACTCCTTCAGCACCTATACACACACACACACACACACACACACACACACACACACACACACCCCTTCATGTCTTATGGAGTTTTGTTTTCTTGCTTGTTTTGTCTAACTGAATCTAATTAGTGTTTCCTGTGTACACATGGAGGTATAAGGACAGGGCCTTCCACTACTATGTCAAAAACCTACCAGTGGCCACACTCCTGAAGAATAATGACTCTCCAATTAGCTTCTCAGCTAGGGGTGGGGCTTTATGACCCTCTTCTGTCCATGCTGGAATTTTGATCAACTCTACCTTGTGAGGACTTTGTGTAAATAATCACAGCTGCTGTGAATTTGTAAGTGTGATGGCTCCATCATGTCCAGAGGATAGCATTTCACAGCAGCCCTCCCCACCCAGCTCTCATATTGTTCCCACCACTTCCTCCATGATGTCCTCTGGGCTTTGGGTTAGGGAGTGTGATATAAATGCCCAATTTAGAGCTGAGCCTCACAGTCACTTCTTCTCAGCACCTTAGCAGTTAGGAGTTTCTGCATTAACTATAACTACTGCAGAAAGGAACTTCTTTGACCAGTGTTGAAAGTAGTACAAATCTCTGGGCATAAATAAAGCACAGATATTTAGAAGGCAGTTGGATATTCCCTGATAGAGTCTATGACCTCTCCAGCCATGGGCTTTTGGCAAGGTTTACAGTGATAGGCAAGAAATCCTTCCTGTATAGCAAGCCTGAAATTCAGTCAGAAAACAGTTGTTGGTTACCCCTATAAGAGTCATGCCACTATTACACCAGTGGGATCATCTTGCCTGGCAAACATATTGTTTATTTAAATATACTATTTCTTTCCAGAGTACTTCTTAAAAGTTGCTGCTACTCGTATTTCCTTCTCTGAAACTGAACTTTCATGCCCTGAGTAAGTATTTTATTAAGTGCCCTTTAGACACTATGTTAAGGCTCACCCCTCCCCGCCCCCGCCCAGGTCAGTGACATAGGGAGACAATGTGCAAGGCTTGGAAAATCTCCCTACCCAGTGGCCTTTAGAGATGCCTATCAGACACCATAGCAGAGTCTCTAGCTAAAATATGAACTTCTCTGATATATTACATTCAGGTCTGATATCCACTAACATCTTAGCTTTGATGTGTTTTACAAATAAAATTTATTTGTTCCTAAAATGGCACTGAGGATATGAAAGAGAAGATAAGTAGTGATGAGGAGGAGGAAGGAATGACAGAGAAGGAAAAATAGCCCAGAAAGTCCATCACACTAGAAGCTGAGAAACAAAACTACATCAAGAAGAAGAGCTCAGGACAAATCTGGAGCCAAAAGAATGTGGAGTGAGCTCCATTCCACAACAATACCCAAGATCATAATAACTATCCTGCCAGAATAACTAGCCTGGCCATTCATCAAGTGATTTATGTCACACAGGTTATATCTTGCCTTCACCACCAGCCACACAAAGTAAGCCAGTTCAGATCAGCCAACCCAGCTCAGGGGGCAGTGCAGAGGATCTCACCGAGGTAAGCTAAGAAAGGAAAGAGCCTGTGCTCGTGGACAACGGGAGAAGCAGCAAGGAAGAGTGAAGAGGAGGTGCAGCTGCCGCATAAGGCACAGATGCTGGGACAAAGTCAAGACAGGAATTCCCTCTTCAGATGCCAGCAATCCTGGAGTCAGAGTGTTCTAGGATGGCTCACAGAAAATGGCCTCACTGCTGATATTCTGGGACCCCACTCGAGATACTGCAAGCAAGAAGTCTATGTAAGAAAGACCAAAGTGAAATGAAATCAAGCATTTACAGATTTACAGTGGAAACTATAGGGAAAAGATATATAGCCAATTAGAGAGGAGCATTTGGTTGAAAAAAAATGCTTTGTTTTTTACTACATTTTCAAAAGGTTTTCGAAGAAATGATAAGCCAAATGAACTGACTCTGCAGGCAGCTCCGGGGTCTAGGCCAAGGGCCTTGCAGGTTTCCCTCTGGTTCTCCATAAAGATAGCAGCAGTGAGCAGCCTCTGAGCATTTCACAATGTTTGGCTCTGCTCAAAATTCCTGGGCCAGAGGCCAACTTCCTGATGTCATCATCGAGCAAGTTGAGGCCATGACACCCACGCCCTGCTGTAGCCATGTGTAACCAAGTGTACATTGTGTGCTCACAGGCACCTTCATGTTACTTGTTCTACCACCAAAGCCTATCTCTGGTCAGAATGAGTCCCTCGGTCCCCAGACTTTACCTTCTCTGCAGTTGGCAGCACCACAGTGCCATGTCTCAATTCCCTCCCGAGAGAAAGTCGACTTCAGAACTGGGATGTGGCTCAGCTGCTAGAATGCTTGCCTTGTCGGCGGAAGCTCTGAGTTCAACCCCCAGCAGCTGTAGATGGTGGTACAGGCCTATAATCCCAACACTTGGGAACTGGAGGGAAGAGGAGGAGAAGCTCAAGGTCATCCTCGAATATGTAGTGAATTTGAGGCCAGCCTGGGCTACCTGAGAGTTGGTCTCGGAAAAACGAAGAGGAAGGAGAAGAGAAAGAAGAAGATAAGGGGGAGGATTCCCCCAATCACCTGTTCTAGCTCGCAGTGGTCCATCTGACAGGTCTCAGAGGTCCCCTGTCCCATTCACAGTCTACCACCAAAGGATAGTACAAGCAGGCCCATCACTTCAGCTGTTTTCCACAGTCCTTCAAACACAAAACAGTAATCAAAGTATCAAACCTTCTCATAAAACTCTAGATCCTGTTTCTCTTCCTAAAGGTGTCTGGTGCCTACGAATGAAGGTAATAAATTCTTTTCTGTGACACAATATTGTTTTTCAGGATGATGCTTGAGTCCTCTAGGGGAGGACTAGTGTTGAATGAGTCACAGCAGGATCTTGGGTTCCAGATGGAAAATTCTGCAAAGAGCTACGCATATTTCCTTCCTTTTAGTTCTCTACACTAGTAAATGTCTTTGTTTGTTCATTTCTGTTCATTAATTTTTCATTTTGTTTTGCTTTTTTCCTTATTACAGTGTAATGCATTGTGTCATCTTTGAGATATGTAAAAATGTGTTACATTTGACAAGGTTTGTTAATCCTTTGGCTCACTCTCCATTGCAACTTTGGGTGCTCTGTGGTATGTGCATAAATACTTCCATATTATCTCAAGGTTTCTGCAGGCAGCGATGCCAGGAAAAGGTGGATGGAGAAGGAAATAATGTTTTAATGTCGAAGTGGTATACACAGTTTAGGCCAAACTATGCATAAAGTTGAGTTATATTTCTTAAAAATGTTCTAAATATCTGTTTCTAGCCCTACCAACTTCTCCTCATTCTCTTTAGGTAAATAATTTAAGACTGTAGCATTGATTCTAATAACATACCATTATAAAATAAAATTCTAGATCTCTGAAAACAAATTTGGAAAATTCCAATAACCTCATTTACCAAAATACATGTCTGAGTATGGGGCTACAGGCCTCTAACCTCAGCACTCAAGAGGAAAGAGGATTTTAAGTGCCAGCTTATACCATTTATACAGTGAGATCCTATCTCAAAAGCAGAATGGGGCCAGAGAGATGACTCAGACGCTAAAGTGCTCCATGCTCTTGCAGAGGACTGGAGTTCAAATCCCCAAATGCTGTGCAGCTCACAACTGCCTGTAACTCCAGCTCCAGAGCATCTGATACTCTCTCCTGGCCTCTGCGGACACCAGCACACATGTTAACATCCACATACAAAGACACATACATTTAATATAAAAATAAATCTTAAAAAAGCAAAAGAAAACAGTTTTTTAAATATCAAAAATCGTAACATAGAACAAAAAAAATTTAGACACAGTTAATATTGGTCATATTCAAATAAATTTCTCATCATTTTCCTTTCCATTGAAAAACAGGACTTTCAGGTTATTTCCACAACTGTAAGAGTATCCTTCAAGGAGAGTCCTCATCCACTTTTATTTTAATCATTAAAATGTTTCCTTCCCACTTTCTTTTTTAGTATTTATTTTTGCTGTTTTTAATCATGTGTACTTTAGGTACGTGAGTACAAAGCCTAAAGAGGTCAAAGGTGTCTGATCCCCTGGAACTGCCATGATAGGCTGCCCAACGTGTGTGCTGGGAAGACAACCCAGGTGCTCGGCGAGGGCAGTACAGGATCATAACCACTGAGCCATCTCTCCGGCTCACTTTCTCACTTTCTTATACCATTTGAATAACCAGGAACAATACCAGGGAACTTTATAGGAATAAATCAATGCTTCCTCCTTAATGCCATAAAGTTCATTAACATATTACGTCTGTGGGAGAGATGATAGCGTCCAAGCCATTGAGTCAGTGGTTTGAAGACCACGTTTCCAGGACATTCTCAGGGGCCAACACTAAGAAGAACTAGAGAAAGAAAAACCTCCAGCTCTCATCCAACAGAGCTGATCTATTGACAATTACTTTTTTTAATACTGAGTTTTGCCAGGAGATTTCAAAATCGGGACTTCACTCCATTGCAAAAAGAAACAAATGTGAAACTATTGTCCTTGACCAAAACTCAGACAAATGGACAAGGACAGACAGAGCCTGGGTTTCGTTGTTGTTGTCTCATTCATTTCTCA